GAGAGAGAGAGAGAGAGAGAGAGAGAGAGAGAGAGAGAGAGAGAGAGAGAGAGGAGCCTGAAGCAGCGTCGGGTGTGGAACAACAGATACGGCAGCTCGACGCCGTTGCGCCGTTGCCCGCCTTCTGTCCCATAATCAAGATCCCATGAGCGTCGACTGCTCGTTCGCGAATCTAAAGGCTGCCATGCTCGAGAGACTGCCGCCGTCGAACCGAACCGACGGAGCGTCCTTCGGCACATGGCGGCGCGGAAACAACAGGCGTCTCACCTGCTGGTCCCGCTTGGTCTTGGCTGCCTTCTCGGCCTTCTCCCGCTGCTTGGCCAGTTCCCTCTCACGCTTCTCCAGTTCCTTCTCACGCTTGCGCGCCAGCTTCTCCTGCTCCTTCCGCTCCCTAGCGGCGGCGGCCTGGGCGCGGCGGACGGCCGGCAGCGTGACCACACCAGAACAGAGGAGCATTTGTACAACAGACGGATTAGTGTTGGCTCGTGGCTAAAACAATCATCGGCGATCGACGCTATTGCCTATTCTTCGTGAAAAACGGAGAGGGTGGCCTGTAGCCTGTTAGCGCGGTCGATGCCAATCAAATACGTCAGTAAACCCACAGAGACCTTCGGGCGGTTGGTGCGGTCGATGCTTCGGTAGTGCAACGATACGCACCGCCTCTTGCCGCTGCCGTTTCCTGTTTGCCGCGGGCTCCTTTGGCGCGGGGGCTTTCTCATTCCTCGAAACCGTCGCCGTGCCCACCGAAGCATCGCTACCACCGCTGGCAGTAATCGCTCCTCGACGCGACACCGAACTCGAACTCGTCGCCCGTCCCCCCCCACCGTCCATCGAGAAGTCATCGTCGCTGCTGTCGTCAAGGACACCGACAACGTCTGCTGCTGCTGCTGCTGCTGCTGCTGCTGCTGCTGCTGCCGTTGAGGCGCTCGCATTTCCAACTCCGCGCACCTCCCCGCCGCCGCCAGGCTTCTTCGCTCTCGCTTGCCGCGCTCCCGCTCCATCATCGCCGAGGACGGGACGGGAGGGCGAGGACATGCTGACGCAGGAAGACGCCTGGGAGGCCAGCAGCAGAGAGTCCAAGTCGAGGTCTGAGGGAGAGTCCGCTGCTGCTGCTCCTCCTGCACCCGGGTCATCTTCGTCGCCGTTTCTCTCAAGGACTGACGGGTCGTCGTCGTCGTCGCTGCCGTCGTTGCTATCGCCTGCGTTATTGGAGGCTTGCTGCGCTGTTGCCCTCGCACCCGCTCCTCCTTGGCTCCAAAGCTGCGAGCGGCCCGGCGCTACCCCGCCTGCGGTGGTTCGTTGATGGAGGCGCGACGACTTTTTACGCGATGTGTGCATGCAAGAAGATGCTTTGAGTGGTTTGGGTCGTCGCGAACGTGGCCTTGTTGCGAACTATGAATGGAGGTTCGTGTGTTCTAGGGTAGCGGTCTGGTTGCCTTCAATGCATATGTCGAGGCTCGTGCTTTGTAGACCCGAGATTACGGCAGGGACGCCAGCACCACAACCTGCAATTCTTGCGCACCAGCTACGGGGTGGAGCTGAGCTCGGGCGGAGTAAAGGTCGGCAAAAAAGGGTACGTAGCAGTAGGGAGGGGGCGTAGACTTATCGATGGAGGGTGTCGCTCTTGACCTGGACTTGTGATGATGTATGCAACCTTCTCTACAATCTCGCCGCAGCGAGCTTGTATAGCCGCCTTCGCAAAAGCCTGGCGTCTGGGACCACGTTTTGACAGCAAGTCAGGGGCAGTATCGACGATGCATGTATGTAGATGCAAAACGAATGCCAAGATAACTTTAGGTGCAAAGCTAAAAAGCGGTAGTCTTCCTGTGAGGTTATGTTTACTGTCTAACAATCACGACCAGCAGCAGTGATGTCCAGCACGCTCTGGTTCCTCATGAACGCGCAAGAACTTTCCCATGCCCCTTACTACACATGATCACCTTCGTCATCGTCGGAGTCGCTGAGAAGATCAACAACTTGGCTCTCTTGCGTGCAAGTATAGTCTGCCTCCTCCTCCTCCTCCTCGTTGTCTCTGCCACAACTGCTGGTACCCGTGGCAGCGCTGCTACCGCCGCCGCCGCCGCTGCCCATCCCCTCCTTCGTTGCCTTGGCCCTCGCCTTCCCTTTGCCTCCACCGACGTAGACGCCGTCTTCCTCTTCGTCGAAGGAACAATCCAGAACACGTAACCTCTCAGTAGACGCGGCCGTAGTGGGTCGTGATCGGGATGCGTTCGTAGACGAAGAAGGGGCCCTACTACCGTCACGCCTCGGTCCGCCTGCCGCGGATGTTGTTGCCGTTGTAGACGAGGTCTGCTGGAGCCGCTCTCGCAGAGGCTTGATGTCCATGCTGAACAAATCATCGTTGCTGTCGCTGCCGCTTCCATCGCTCACTCCATCCCCTCCGTTCCTCTCACGGGCCACGGGGCTGGCAGGCGATGATGCCACCGCTCCCACTGCTGTTGCCGCCGTCGGGCTTGGGCACAACCTCCTTGAGGCGGGAGGCAACGGAGTCGTGAGATCCAACACCTCGACTTCATCCTCCGAATCGTTCCCCAGTTCCACCATCTCTGACGCGTTTAGGATTCCACAGTGGATGATACAGTGACGTTCCGTTGTGCCCAGCCTTGTTCACGCCACGAGTTGTGGTTCGTTGCACGCTTGACAGAGCGCGGCTACAACAACGACGACCAAAACTCGCTCTCGCAAACTCGCAACGACGAATTCGAGGGTTTCCATTGTTGCATACCAAAGAGTGTGTATGGGAAAAACGCGGCGTAATTACATTTCCAAATTTTTTCCAGCTTGCCCAACGGCATTATTCCATCGCCGCCGACAGCATAAAACCTTTTGACGATCAGTTCAGAATAGCACCAGAGCTACGGTTGCAAGTTCCGTGATCTTGACTACGAAAGAGACATCCGCGTGATTGGAACGGTCGAGGCTTGCGCTCGCGTTGCGCCAGCTGCTGCGCGTTGCACGTCGGTGTCTGGCGCGGGAAAAATCTGGCGCGAACAACCTAATGCCCGTTGCGAGAACGAGGACCACACCACCGAAGGAGAGAAGGGGCCAAGGTGCTGTTGAATGGCGGATACCGACTACCACAACCTCCATACGGCGAGCCACGCCGACGAAACGGGGAGAATAGATGTGGATGGATTACTCGTCCTACTAGAGCAGAAGGACAGCGATCTCAGGAAGGCGGCGGAGCTCGGTGAGTCGTGTGATGGCAGCACTCGTTTTTGCCGCTGACGGCAGTTAATTATCCAACACATGTGGCCCGCGAGACGCAGGGCAGCAACGGGCGTTAGCGGTAGATAGAGATACAACGGACATAAACTCCATCGGAGGGCGGCTGGGAGGGGGACTGTTCTTTAAATGCAAGCATAACGCAGGTATGCTCAGCACGCACAACTGGCGACTACAGATTTGGAGCTATGCCATGTGAGGTAGTAACGCAATAGCAGTTGGTATGCAGCAGCACACGCAGGACCGCAGGGACCACGAGACCCAAGGTTCAAGATTAAGATTTGTGCGGAGCTGTTGTGTCTTGCGGCAGCAACAGTCGGGCCGGCTTTACCTGCGGCAGGCCGCAGGCGCCCCGTTCTACCTAAACATGTACCATGACAGAGAACCTACTGATCTTGTGGAAGCTGCGAGTGTTCTCGGCAACCTGCGTTTGCGCGCAGCTGACATTGCTTCACGGATCCCCATCAGCGGCTGGGTACAACAAACCACCACGAAACGGTGGACTTTCGCGGTGGAGGTCTGTCTAAAAACGAGGCTCCTTTTCGCTCTGATCGGAGATCGCGAGAGATGCACTCGCCAGCAAATACAGCGCGTATGTAATACACTAAATGAGCCGAGAGCTCTCGCAGCTGCCTCTTCGTCTGGGAACGGAATGTGAAACAGCCACACACACACCGTCGCCCCGGTGGTGGAGTGGGTAGCCTCGCATCCTGCTAAGGGCCAGGTCATGGGTTCGAGTCCCGGCAGAGTGAGTTTTTTTCTCGCTAAATAAATCCTGGTCTAGGATGAAAGCGACGCGCTGCAAAGCTCGTTTGTTAGTAAACCATAATCGACTTCGTAAGTCGCGAGGGAAGGGATTGCTGTACCCTTCTCGCGATAAAAATATCTCAGGCATGAACCGCAGGAGGGGGTCCAACCCCCCCCCCTATGTGACCCCGGGTGGGTCGTCTAGCCGGTAGAAGTGGAGGATAGGGGCCAGAGGGGCAGACGACAGAGTCCAATGATGGGAGAGAAACAACAGAAACAAGACCCATTCTGGGCTCAGAGTGAGGACCCTCTTGGGTGATTATTTTGCGTACAGCAGCGTATGCACATTATCCGAACACGTTAATGCTGTGGGTGCAGGCAAGATGCTCCTCGATGAAAAGGAGGCAGCTGCCGAGGCCCACGAGGGGGAGAAGGAGGCCCTGTGGCGGCGCATCCAGGTGTGGGTGTGTGTGTAGGCTAACTGGGTGTATGAGAGGAGAGGGCTCTAACGTTTCCATTTTCCGTGGTACATTCTATATATTTCGTTCTCTCTCTCCTGCTCTCGAAAACCTGTTTTTGGATCGCCTATTCTGCGTCCTCTTGCGGACATGGCAGTTAAGAATGTCAGGGTTCAAACTTGTCCACAATATATCCGACTCCATTCCTAAACCTGGTGTATATTAGCTGTTGGTAAATTCTCAAAGAAAGTGAAAAAACTCGAGGGAGTTGGCAAGGTTGGAGGTTGTTGAGTGCGGTCGCTATTTTCCTGCATGTGATTTTCGGGAGGCGGGCGAAGCCATTGCGGTCATGCGTAGCAAACCGAGGGCCCCAACACACCCGTTTTTATTTTTCGTCTAGATCAACCCTCGTTCTCGCAACAAGCGGAAGGGATGAGATCTTGTGTGTTTGTGAAGCTTTGGTGCCGCACGAATGAATTCGCAACGATGCGCCCCCCTCCGAACACAGGACATGGCAAGGAGAGTTATGGAGCTTGAGCAGGAGGCCGCGGAAAGCCGCGACGAGCTTTCCCTTCAGCAGGACGAGCACGCGCGCCGCCTCGCCCTCGCCGGCGCGCAGAGGGGAGGCGGCGGCGAGTTCAACAGCAGTAGGCGCGTGTCGCATGGCGGCGGCGGTGACCGCGCCGAGGAGAGGGCGCTGAGGGCCAAGAACGAGATGCTGGAGAGGCAGCTGGCGCATATGAGGGAGGAGGCGGAGGAGACCCAGCTCGAGCTCGCGGCTGCTAGAAAGGTGCGTTGGCCGTCGGTGGCGATGCTGCTGCGTGCTGTGTGGTGTGGTTCGCATTCGTGGGCGTGTTGCTGGACGCGAAGTTCGAAGCGGTGAGTGAGGTTTCTTGTTCGTGCAGAACCCGTGTTGAATGAAACGGTCAGGGTTCGTTCTCTTGCTTTGGTCGGAGCGAAAGCCACCCTTGGGGAGAAACTACACAGGCGCGATTCTATGTGGGCTGGCTTGTTCTGTCTGTGGACATATGTAGAGAGAGGCCGATCGGGGTTTCTATTCCTCGTCGCTTTCGAGGGCGTCCGCGCTGCTCAACCGCCTGCTTTCGAACCAATGCGGAGAAACCTTGTTACGCCGAACACTCCCCCTCCCAGGCTCGCACCTTTCACGGCTTCGCCTCCACGTAGCTGCAAGCATGTATCCATCCCCCCATCGCCTCTCCCAACATGAATCGCCACACCGTGTTCTTTCCTTCTCGCCTCCGTTTGTTTCTTTTGTCTCTCTGTAAAACCGACCAATATGGACGATTTACTATCTGAAAAACAACCTATAAAAAGGCTCGGTTTTCCACGTGGTCGTCTCGCCGCCTCACCCGTGGCCGGAGCGAATCCCTCCAGAGTTCCCCCGCGCTTTCCGCCCGGCTCGAGCGGGGGGACGGCAGCCTCAACGGGGGGGGGGTCGGCGCGGCGCCGCCGAGGCCGCTCAGCCCAGCAGGCTCCTCCTTCTCTCCCAGTCGCCTCCCCGAGGTGTTGGCGGCAGTCAGCCTCGGCGGCGGCGGCGGCGGCGGCGGCGTGGCTGGCGCGCCCGTCACGCCTGGCCAAAGCGAGCAAGACCACCACCACTACCGCCGGTCGTCGCTCTCGCGGGTGTACTCCTCCTCTTCCTGCGCCGCCTCCGCCGCCGCCGCGGCGGCAGCGGCGGCGGCGCGCCTTCCGAGGGGGGTGGTGCCGTCGCCCCTGGTGGGCTCCGAGGGAGGAAATCAAGGTGGCGGCGGCGGCGGCGGCAGCAACTTGTGCGGGGGCGACGAAAGGGAGGAGGAGGAAGAGGAGGAGGCGGAGGAGAACGATGCCGATGGTGCGGAGTCGGAGGTCTCGAATGACGAGCTGGTGAGAGGGGTTGCTGTCCGGGGGGGGTCATGCCTCAGCACTGCGTCCTCTTGTGCCGGTGTTTTCTTCCACGTGCCAGTAGTCTCACCCCTGTCCCGTAAAGCTCTACTCGCCTGTACCCTGTCGGGAGCAGAAAAGGCGATTGTTTTTGTCGTTCGCGTTGGATGCGGGATATCTTCTTGGATTACACGCCTCCCCGCCCGCCGCAGCCCCTGCCGCTGACAACGTGCGTCGATGTTCGTTTTTCAACAACCCTTGGTGAAACATGTGCTTGTCCTACGCCTCTCCTCGTGCTTCTTAATCGCGCGACGCTGCACGGTTTTGAGGGCTACGCGACTCTATGTAAGGTTTGAACCCTCACACGCACACACACTACCTTCTGTACCCGGTGTACCGAGATTCTTTGTGCATGGTTCGCCGTCTCTTCCTTCGCGACAGCGCGCCGCCGACCGAGTTCACGCATCTGCCTTGCGTGCGAGAATCGAGGAGAAGGGGGAGTCTGATGGCGACGGAGGGCCAGGAGGCAGGGAGCCTGACGACGATGATGGTGATGATGATGATGAGCAAGACGTGGCCTGGCTACTGGAGCAGAACACCTGGCTCATTCAGGAGCTGGAGGCAAAAGACGGTGAGGAGCCAGAGTGCTGTCCTTTCCGTGCGGGGTGCACTTTGCCTAGCAGATAGCATTAGGGGGCCTTTCGTTCGATTGCCGTCGTGGCGGTGGCGGTTGTGGTTTGCTGGTGCCGGTACTGCTGTTGTTTGCTGTCGGTGTATATCGCCGTCGTCATTGCGGCTGAACTGTCGTCACGTGATTCCCGACATCTGGCGTCTTGTTAACATCGCGTGCCCGCCGGCAGACTTCATCCAGGCCCTGCGCGAACAGATGGAGCAGCTGCAGCGAAGGGAAGGGCATGGGCCGGGCCCCTCTTCCTCCATGCACTCGCTGCGAGAGCTGGGGGGCAGCGACAACAGCGACGACGACAGTGACCAAGAAGGCGGTCACGTGAGCGACGATCACCGTCGCTTTAGGGCGGGGGGGGGGGGGGGGGGGGGGGGGGGGGGGG